ATTTTTTGGTTGCAGCCATCATTGTTGTTTTGGCGGGTCCGGGCTGGGGATTCGAACCCGCCACCTTAGGTGTATGTGGCTGGCGCCTTAGCCGGTTGAGCCACAGGCGCCGAGCCTTTTTTAATTATTTTTTAAGGCAGAGTCTCACTTTGTCACTCTTGATAAAGTGCAGTGGCATCATAGCTCACAGCAACTTCAAACTCCTATGCTTAACAGCCTCCCAAGTAGCTGGGACTACAGGTGCCCGCCACAATGCCTGGCTATTTTTAGAGACAAGGTCTGGCAATCTACCTGTGAGCTCAGGCAATCCACCCACCTGGGCCTCCCAAGTTGTGGGATTACGGGTGTAAGCCACTGCACCCAGCCTTCTGTCCCTTTTTTTGACTTTAGCTACTGCAATACTGTGAAATATACCAGGGGTGCCAAAAATATATATACACATTTTAAGAGATCTTGTTGGAACTAATCATTCCCCAAAAGTGTGCAAATTGCAGGTAAAATGGATGTGTGTAGGATGTCTAGGTATACTTAAACAAGAAAGGTACTTTCGATTCAACTTTGGAAAGTAACACATAGGTAACATCACTTTTTTTTTTGAGACAGAGTCTAACTATGTCACCCTGGGTAGAATGCCATTGCATCACAGCTCACAGCAACCTCCAGCTCTTGGGCTTAAGTGATTCCCTTGCCTCAGCCTCCCAAGTAGCTGGGACTACAGGCACCTTCCACAATGCCTGGCTATTTTTTGGTTGGAGTTGTCATTGTTTGGGAGGCCTGGGCTGGATTTGAACCCGCCCGCTCTGGTGTGTGGCTGGCAGCCTAGCTGCTGAGCTACAGGTGAGCCTGTATATTTGGTCTTTAACCCGTTTCCTGGCAGGCAGCTCCTAAAATGCTTATAATCTCTGAAATGATGTCTTGTGTATGCTAATGACTAGCTGATCGCTTCAGGATGGGGGCTGATCATTGGAAAGACCTCAGCAGGATTTGACTCCCAGCCCCAACTTCCAGGGAAGGGAAAGAGGCTAAAGGTCAAGTTGATCCCAATGTCCTATCCATTAGGCCTATGTAATGAAGTCTCCATAAAACCCCAAGGACAGACTCAGCACCTGTGGCTCAAGTGGCTAAGGCGCCAGCCACATACACCTACGGTGGCAGATTCAAATCCAGCCCGGGCCTGCCAAACAATGACAGCTGCAACAACAAAAAAAAATAGCCAGGTGTTGTGGCGGGCGCCTGTGGTCCCAGCTACTTGGGAGGCTGAGACGGGAGACTCGCTTAAGCTCAGGAGTTGGAGGTTGCTGTGAGCTGTGATGCCATAGCACTCTACCCAGGAGAACAGCTTGAGGCTCTGTCTCAAAAAC